AAATTTTCAAGAATTTCGGAAAATCAAACTCTATGGAATTCAGATCTACAGTAGGTTCTCATGAATTGGATATTAAAATGGCCTTGAATGACAGAGAACCGAGTGGGTATCCCCTGTCACGCCACTTTTTTTTTCACCTATATGTTTGACACGGATTACTTGCCTCTCTGTATGCTCTAAGAAGTACCTCCGCCCTTTCCTTCCTCTTGTCTTTCTCGCCGTCAGCAATTGTATTAAGGCATCTTAGGTACTGATCTATCTTACGCTCGAAAGGCTCTATCTTACATTCGTTAAGAAAACCTGTAATACACCATTCAGAAGAATTGCTTTTAAAGTATTCGTGTAATTTGTCGGCCATTATTATGAAAATTTGTTGTTACGATAATATATTTTTGAGAGAATTTATACTGTACGTGTTCTAAGCCACAGATCAAATTTACTCACGATCATCCCATATCAGTGGCGAAAATTTTTGTGTAACTCACTTAATATATGCGCTCAAGCAGTCTTTTATCAACAAGTTGAAAACTATAAGAAACAATCTTTCGTTGATAGTAATAGGTCGCTCGGTCAGTGGAGGCCTTGGTGGGAAGCGTTTACGTTAAAATTAGTTTCCTTAAGCCTCTTCTATTCTTCGTTTCTTTCTTGGTTCATGAATATGTGTTCATGCATTATTATTTTTCGTTCTTCTTGATAAATTTCATAAGTAATTTTTTTCTTTATCTAGATACTCCTCAAGGATTTTGGTATCATTGATTTTAAAAATGTAAGATGCAATTTTTTCTCCTTGAGCTTTCTTTAAAATGCTGCTGTAATTTTTGCTACTGTAATTTTTTGGTTCCATAGTGGATCTAATGTAAATTAATTTCATATTATATTTTTATATAGACATAATCCTATATTAATCTTTGGATAGTAATAGAAGTTTGCTACATAAATTTATTGCTGTGATAATAAAAATGCTATTAGTCACATCAGTCAACTTTCAGCCACATCCTCTCATTTACGTCGCATAATAAAAATGTTCACTTTGTCTGGTTTTGTTGCAGTCTGCCCCATATACTGTATTACGTACGTATTAATGCCTATCGTCGCCAAGATGCGATTGATACCTATTATTGATAAGCTATCAAACGACGACGTTGTTGAACTCAGAGAGTGCTGTCTTAGACTAATGGAGTCAATGGAAACTGACCTTGGTATCAAGGTATGAATCCCTCATGTTGTAAATAAAAAGTGCAAGTATTCCCTAAGTACTATCAACCATTACGGTAAAAGGCAACTGGTCCAGTACATAACTCTTTGTTTGTTGAAACATTGTTTCAGTTAGATATAGAATACGAGTGATTAGACAGGCAATAAATGCTATATGTTTAACGTGGTGACTTCAAGGTGAAATCCTTTTTAGTTTTTCAAGAAAAAACTTTTGGAACCGCAGATCCCAAATATATGCATATTTCGGTTGATGATCCTTATTGTTATTATTAATATAGTAACAGTAATGGTAATAGCCATTATCCGGATGTGTGACATCTCGTCCTGTAATGTTACCGTTACTATTGTACTGTACGAATTAATATTATAATGTATTTCTATTGAATCGCTTCAAATTACCTGCAGCCCGTATTTGGTAATGCATACATACCTAAATATGACAACCTTCTCAAGTTTACCTTTCTCTTGCACTTTTGGATCTCACGGCACTCTTTTTATCTTGGACGGGGGGGATACTCGTTAACATACCATAGACATAACAACCTCACACATAGAGTGAATGCACAGAATAGAATAGACGAACCGGACAGCGGCACAAACCATAGTAACTGCAAGACAGAACTATCAGTACATCACACAAGCGCACACTGTACTCAATACAACGTACAGACAAGTCAAACCAAGACGATAATAGGACACAAAACTGCAGTCTATGTTAACACCGTTCTCTATACTTAACCTGTAAAACACCTCGCTCTATACTCTCTCTGCTCTCCTCCTCTCCCTCCTCCTCTCCTCTCCCTCTCAAACATCTCGAACTTTTCCCTTACACACCCCTCCCCCCCGACCAACATACACATTCTTTTCTCCATATCTTATGTACATATAAAATGGCTGGAAGACAACCATATGCCTATCCTCCCGCTAGTTACGGGAACCAACCACAAACATTCCCTAGTCAAGCGTACCCAACAAACCACATTTCAAATCCAAGGGACATACAACATCCACCTCACGCATATCCCAACATATCCCGCTCGCGCTCTCCGGATCATCAGGACCCAAGAGTTCCTCGTAGTCCCATGCCACCTGCATCGCCTCGTAGTCCATTGACCCCTGCGTCGCCTCTCACACCAGTATCTCCATCACAGCCCATGCTCAGCCCGGCTTCAGCGAGAGGCAATTATCACTACAATCAACCACAATACTCGCACGAAAACACCCAAAATTACTACAGCCCGACGGGTACTAATCAATCACAATCTGCCTATTACTCTTCTGTCCAACAAAGTTCCACTACACCGACAACTCCCACTAGACAATCCCCAGGATTTCAACCATCTAGTCGAGCAGCTAGTCCGCTCACGCCGACAACTCCCACTAGACAATCCCCAGGATTTCAACCATCTAGTCGAGCAGCTAGTCCGCTCACGCCGACAACTCCCACTAGACAATTCCCGGAACTTCAACCATCTAGTCGAGCAGCTAGTCCGCTCACGCCGACAACTCCTACTAGACAATCCCCAGGATTTCAACCGTCTAGTCGAGCAGCTAGTCCGTATATGCCTCCACCAGTTCGGCAAGATCCATCTCGGCAGGATTCTGTTCCATCTCAAGCCGTCCAACAACCTTTCGTCGGAAACGTATATCCTCCCACTCCTGTTCGTCAAAACTCTAATTCATCGTTTCAAACAACGCAGTATCCGGACACTGGATCGCCCATGCCATCCAATGAAATTCAAATACCTAATTCATTAAACGTACCCTCTCTAACTAAACAGCAACCACTCACCAGATCATCCGTGACATCTAATGAAAAGTCTGCTGATGCGTCCGGCACGACACTTCAGCCTCCGCGTAATCAGCCTCGCTTATCTGTAGCAGTGTCTACTCTCAGTGAACGACCGTCGGCTATCGATAAGTATAAAATATCCCCAATGTCAACTCAGGCACTCTGGTTGAATAAGCGGGAGTCAGACGATGACATACATAATCCAGCTACTCTCAAAAAGGGCGGCTGTGTGTGGTTCTCAAAGAGAGGTTGTCTTAATGTTGGCGCATTTGTTGGAATAATATTAATAATCCTTGGATTGTTTGCGGCGTATCCGGTGTATAGCGCAATCAAAAACGGCGACTATGCTATGCCTGTTGCGAATAATGATACTTTGTCGGCTAATGGAACAACTGGTGGAACAGCTGGCGGAAACCCCCAACCTAAAAATCATCTAATAACAAGGTCGTTAGCGGAATTTGACTCGCCACGAGTGGAACCAGATGGAGCCACGTATAATTTGGTATTTGAAGAAGAGGTCGTTGAAGCTGAAGTGAGCGTTCAAGCGGATAAATAGATATTATAGAATAAGTATTAATCATTAAAACGGTAGATAAATAATGGCGTCTCTAGTGTAATTAATAATGAGTTGAAATTTTCAAGAACTAAGGTCCTTGATTTTTTGAAAAAGCAGATTAGTCATTGTATATTTGGTAGTGTAGTATTACGACGATGTAGGCAAATCTCGTGTTCCGTTAATAAATTCAATAATATAGACATGAAGTTTAATATATTCAATCAATTAGTGGTTTTTCACCAAAGAGACTCCATCCATAGTGGTTACGGTTTGCCATTGCGCCATTTTTATTTGTTATGCAGCTCAGAACTGTGTCTGAGTAACGATGTTCTAATCAAATTACCAGAAATCAAAGTCACCTCTACCTTCCGGTTTTCAGAATGGTTCTGGGCATTTATCGTTCGGATAGTGCTGCAAATTAGAGCAACAATTCTATTGATTCCTTTTTCGATAATACATCTTTTAATGCCTCTGAAACCCACATATACTCTTCTATTAAGATTAACAAAAGTCCCATCCCAAATACCAAAAAAAGTTAGCGCTTTTCCCCAAAACTTTTGTTAAGGTATATTGTGCCCATACTGAGTTCTGTTCTGACACATTCACCCGTTTCGGGATTGTCACATTAGAACCAATAAACTGTAGGGATGTTAATAGTCCATTGGGAACTAATTTCCCTTATAACCAATAGGACAACGGTTTCGAACTGGTTCCTAGGACTACGGTTTCGAACTCTTGTCCTAGGACTGCGGTTTTGAACTCTGGTCCCTAGGACTACGGTTTTGAACTCTGGTCCCTAGGACTACGGTTTCGAACTCTTGTCCCTAGGACTGCGGTTTTGAACTCTGGTCCCTAGGCCTACGGTTTCGAATTGTAGTCCTAATTATAATTGCAATTGAGGGAAAGGCCTTAAAACTATAGGATTAAGGCATGTGTTGTAATATTCGCGATCTTACTACGAGAGTAAGAGCAGTTTACGAATAAGTTTCTGAGAGTTTAGTATTGAGAAGCAAGAACTAAATTCACAGAATAATACTACGAGGTTTTTAAAAATTGATTCACTTGTCCCCAATTGCAATTAGGACTACAGTTCGAAACCGCGGACCAGAGTTCGAAAACCGTCCTAGTACTAGGGACCAGAGTTCGACCGTAGTCCTAGAGACCAAAGTTCGAAACTGCAGTCCTATTGTCATTAAAATTCTGTGGGACCACAGAGACTGAAGCACACAGGGATTTAAGTCCCTATTAAACTGATAACATCTCTAAGTCAATAAACTACATAATTTATGTGATAACATTGAAAAAATATGTGACAATCTTGAAACGGGTTGACCAATTCTTATGGATGTTGTTAATATTAATGTGAACAAAATAATATCGGTTATCGGAATTGCGCGATTTTATACAAAATATCGGTTTTCCGAGCAAATTTTATTATACGTGTTTATCGATTTTCCGAGTATCGGTTTTTCGAGCTTCGGTTGTATCTATTTGATAATGAGAAATCTTCGACCTCAGTATACGTAGAATTGATAACGTCTTCGGATCAAAAAGAAGTTATTTTGGTGGATTACAAATAAATTATCCACACTTTCTAGCACCAACTTTAAAGAAATATTGGCTGTGGTTCAGTTGCAAGAATCTCGTCGTCAGTGTTCGATTGGTCGTTAGTAATAAACTCTGCGGCCAGCAATGGTTCATTGAGCCTTGCATTCTGTTGCCGTACGTACTATCAATACCCAGTGCGTCCGTATCAGAAGTATCAGGAAGAATACCCGTTTTCCTCCAACAATTTCGTATAGTCGTTTCAGTAACAGTGCTCCATGGCATCGTAGATATCAATGGGGATGGGTTGGGTTCTTAACTCCCTTGCTAAGTCACATGCTTCGACTTGATGTTTTACGAGTCTTTTACCTATTTGAGATGGTCGTGGCTTTTTGGCATATCTTTTACATATCTCAGCAAAAGACAGATTTTACCCCTTATGCTTCGGTATATTGACTTATGTTTTCACTTGTGAGTTTATCGAGGCTCAATCTATTATGACTATCGCCAAAAAAAATATCGGTTTATCGGGTTTGCGAGGTCTATATGTAATATCGGTTTTACGAGGAATTTATCATATTGCTTAATTAACAGCTTAATCCATAAAGAAACGGTTCAAAAATAAACCACTGATAGACGTATGTTGTATGTCAGTTTGGAATAATAAGAAATTCGATAAAAAAATTTATCGAGCTTTGTCAATTATGTGTGTATACTAATGTTGTTATAACAAGCACTTGCTAAGGGTTATATCGTAATTAAAATAAGTAATAAAAAGAGTAATATCGTGTTCTTATCAATAAGTTTTTAGTGTATTATTAAGTATAAGAGTCGCGTTCATTCAAACTTTTTAAGAAATAAGTTCAAGATATGTGAAATATTAATATTTAATTTATGCTTGTTCCTTACTCTAATATTAATATTGTTGACTTTGCTAATGATTGTTTAACCATCTTATTATGGTAGCATAGTATTAATACTAATTAACAATGTGATAAGATTTAATTCTCGGTTGATGAAATTGAAATTTCACTTATTAACCAGAGAAAATTAATTTAAGAAAACTTATCTAACTGATTTCAATTAGTATTGTTTGTTGCGGAGATGGCAGTTTAAGCATAGCTTTATGACAAGCACATTGAGCTGTAGAGCAGTCAGTCTTACAACTGCAACCAATACTTATTAAATTGGTCAAGCTTTGGTTTGAGACTGCTTTGTGTAGAGTTACTGATTTCTTAGGTATGGTAGTAAGCTCTGCATAATGAATATGAATACGGATTCAATTTTTTCAAGATTTGCCGCTGAATACTTGTACCTGAAGAGCATCTTAACGTTTAATATGTAAGAACTATGGAATTCAGTATCATAATCATGATACACATTACGCTATCAACAACATTAATAAG